CAAACATATATGACGAACCAGGAGGAAACAAAAATAATATACTAGACAAACACAAAATACAAATAGAAACAGACACGAACAAAGCAATTATCACAGGGGACTTAAACGCAAAACATACATGCTGGGGCGGTAACATAACCGATGCCAGAGGACAGGACATGATTGGATGGTGGTAGAAGAGGAAACCCTCAGCGACCACCAATACATTACGTTCAACACAGGAAGACGTACACAAAGTAACCTAACAACCAAACACAAACTAAACATCACACACATAAACAAAAATAAACTTAACACACTCACACAATCAAAGGCTTGGGATTTGTCAGGTACTACAAATCTAAAAGCTGAAAGAACCCAAAAAGAAATAATCCAGATAACAAAAGAGTCCTCAAGAAGAACAAGAAGAAATAAGAAACCAAATCAAATTTGGTGGACAGAAGAATTAGAAAAACACAAAAAAGAAACAAACAAAAACAGAAGAAAGTACCAACAAGAAACAGATCCAATAAACACGACGAGACGAAATCATATACAACGCTAGCAAAAGAAGATACAAAGACGCAATAAAGCTAGCAAAAAGAACGGCTATTAGACAGTACCTGACAAACCACGACCCAGACAATCCATGGAATTTAGGTTACAAAATAATAAAGAAAAAAGAGGACAACAACAGCACACTAAACACTATTAAGAAACCATACGGAACGTAAACAACAAACAGAGAAGACACAATAAAATACTTACACAGAAAATATTTCCCACAAGACAACGAAGAAGAAGATAACGACACACACAAAGCACTCAGGACAAAATCACACACACACACAACACACGGAAAACGATGTAGACTTTACACAAGACGAAATAAGAACTACCATACAAGACATGAAAAACAAGAAAGCCACAGCAACAGACGGACTTAGCAAAGAAATAATAGAATTAATACACAACATAAAACCAGAACTACTGACAGAACTCTACAACGATTGCTTGCACACATAAGAATTTCCGGAGTGTTGGAAGAGGGCAGATATGGTCTGGCTACCTAAAAAAGATGGAGGCAAGAGACCGATCTGCCTTCTCCCAACACTGGGAAAGATCCTCGACAAACTCACGGCCAAAAGACTGACACACCACCTTGAAATCAGGCTGAAGCTGAACAAAAACCAGTTCGGTTTTCGACAAGGCCATTCAACTATCGACGCTATTGACCAGATTTTACGTAAAATAAGCTTAAATAAGCAAAAAAAATATCATACATTGATAATTACACTCGACCTACAAAACGCGTTCAACTCAGCCTGGATACCGACAATAACAAACAGTTTACACAACGCTGAAACACCAAACAATATACTAAAACTATGTACAAACTTCCTACAAAACAGAACAATTAAAACAGAAGACATACAAGACAAAAAGGATGCCCGCAGGGGTCGAGCCTGGGTCCCATACTTTGGATACTCCTTATGGAATCCTGGTTCGACGCCATCGAGCAGACAAACGCTACCACAGAATACGACCTAGTACAAGCTTTTGCGGACGACCAGATCATCTTGATAACAGGTAACTCCCTAAGCCAGATAGAGAACAAATGGGCACAGATATGGACAGCTTGTGAGAAATGGGCTAAGTCTTACAAACTGTCATACAGCAGTAGTAAGACTGAAGCACTATTCATACCACATAAACCAACCAGGGCCCCCCGAGTCAGAATCGGAAACGATCCAATAACACCGTCAGCAAGCCTAAAATACCTAGGGCTGACAATAGACACGGGCCTTCAATGGTTGGAGCATGTGAAGATGAATAGGCAAAAAGCAGCCGACATTGGTCACAAGCTCTTCATAATCGCAGGAAAAGACTGGGGCCGCAAAGCACAGACACTTAAGACAATCTACGAAGGAGCGATAAAACCCATGCTCTTATACGGAGCAGAGATCTGGGGTAAGAAAGCGACCGACACTAGAATTGCAAAACAATTGGCTGCCGCAGAAAGACCATTTCTGCGAGCAATCACGAGGGCATACAACACCGCCCCCACATCGGCACTACACGTACTTGCCGGAACAACACCGCTCAGCGTAGATGCCTTGGCCACATACAAAACATACACTGACCACAAGAACATCATAAACCACTTAAAAACAAAGACCACAGATACACCCCACCCTACACAACGCACCATAAAACAACGACACAACACGGACAATCCAGACATAAGAGCCTACGCGGATGCTAGCGTCAAAACCGTTGACGAAAACACTAGCAAAACCGTAGGCATCAACATAGAAACACAACATACAAATATCAGAACAAACTACAAACTGATCACCAGTGGCAACATAAACGACATAGAAACACAAGCACTACACATAACTACAGAAAAAATCATACAAAACTTACAGGAACACAAGAACAAAACGATAACCGACTCACAAACATTAATACAACAACTCCACAAGGGCAACAATAGAACCAAAATAATCATAAAAATAAAAAAGAACCTGGAAACACTCACCAAACATAACATCCTTTACAACATCTCAAAAATAAATAGAAACGAACCAGGACACAAAATCGCACATAACCTTGCAAACCTAGCACACACGCAACCACAAAACACAACGCACACAACCACTAGAGAAGACATAAAACGCATAAAACTAAATACAAAACTAACCAAATGGCAACAAGACTGGGACACCACAACAAAAGGACGGAAAACATATAACATAATAAAACAAGTAAGACTAATAGACCCTAAATTTAACTGGAAAACTACGCAACTCCTTACAGGACACGGTCACACACAAGAATACTACCAACGATTTAACCTAAGGGACACGAACGGAAACTGCCTACAATGCAACACAACCGAGGACCAACACCATCTAATAAATGACTGCACAATACCACAACGAACATTAGCAAGACAAACACTAACGAACAAATTAGCGACAAAGCACATAACATACCCACCAACAGACATTGACACCTCAGACAAAGAGTTGACTCAATGGCTGAATGAGTGGGGCGACCAAATGATACAAGACGACGAAGAAATGGACCCATAAAAAATGTAACACACATCCACACACACACACACACACACACACACACACACACACACACACACACACACACACACACACACACACACACACACACACACACACACACACACACTCACACACACACACACATACCACACACACCACACCCTTGGCCCGGTAACTGAAGGACAGTGAAGTGCGCGAACACTGCGTCAGGTACCAAACTGATAGGACACTAATTAGAATTAGACTAGCATAGGATTTAGAATAGGAAATTAGAAATAGAAAATAGACAATAATAAAAATAGTTATAGCTAGAATAGTATAGGATAGACTTAATAGGATTTAAAACGTATGTTAAACTTTTAATAATTGTAATAATTTTATGTTATTTTGAATTTAATAAAGAAAAGGGGGGTCTTCTTTCGCCGCAGTTTTTAGAGTGCGGTGCTGGGATGGGTTCCCTTGACAGAGCTTCACTAGATATTGTGGTAGATCAGGTCGTATGCCGCAAGGCAGGTAGACCGGGGCCAGGATTTGTTTGTACACTCTCCGGAGTGGACAAACAAATCGATGGCACGAACCAACCCTATTCATGTCCCTACCGGGTAGGGCCTACTAGTGATGGTCAGAATCGATTACTTATGGGAATCGGTTACCGTGGAATCGAGTACAGTAAGGAATCGGATACTTTATTGAGTACTGAGTACCGAGTACTGTAGCTATCAGATTTTTAATTAATAATGGGTTTGTCAATCTTTACATTTATGATTTTTTAATTATTTATGTGTGTTTTGCGTATTTTTTTTTATTTTATAATAAATATAAGTTTTGAAAACAAATAAGATAAGTATCACAAAATGGACCAAAAATGTTTCTAATAAAAGAGTGTTTAAATATAATATTTGGTATAAATCAAGTAATTATTTAGCTAATAAAAAAACTTAAAAAAGTATTCTACTATTGTCTACAAAATAAAAAACAGTTTAAATATTAAATGAACATTAAAAATAGAAATTAAAGTATAAATAAAATAAAAAAAAACATTCTAGAATATATCACAAAACAAAAATAAAACAAAAACTACTTTAAAAATAAAAACTGTTTAAAAATATAATTTTGTCCAAGTTTTTTGGTAATAGTCGGTTTCGACGATCGTTCGTTAATTGCCCTGTCTTCGAAAAGACACTTTCAGATGGAACCGAGGTCCCAGAAACAGATAAATTCCGAATGACCCGAACATTACTGTAATTTACAACCGTCTATATTCGGCAGGTACCCAGTACTCAGTACTCAATCGGTTTCCAGTTCGAGTACTCGAGTACATTTGATTTTGTAAGGAATCGGATACTACTCGATTCCAGTATTCGAATACTCCCATCTTTAGGGCCTACCCACTCACAGTCACAGTTTGCCGTCGACCGTCCTAGCGAACAGACGTGTTTTCATCTGCAGCTCCTCCGCACCGACCCGTACAAGTATATGCGCTAAAACAGTTGCGCGTTCGGAACCTTTCCACAGTTGGATCCAGCAACCGCAGGAGACGGACGCGAAACCGACTCGCCTGCTCAAGCGGGTGCGCTGCGCCGATGCGCGTTCGGTACCCTGACCACGAAGGTAATTTTTGAAGTAAGGATGTGCGGTAGACGGTGCTACGTCACGGGCGCTTACGTCACAGACCGAAATTAAATAGCGAAGTGTACATTTTATAGTCTACATGGGACTAAAAAGTGAAAAGGTGCAAGTGAAAAAGTGAATATGTGACAAGGATTATACTTGGAATAACGCTATAAAACAAAACAAGTAAGTTTGGACTTACATTGTGGACAATGTAAGTCCAAATTACAAATGTGGACATTTTTATAAACATTTTAACATTCATAAACATCTATAAACACTCTACAAACATTCTAATCTAAAAACTTAAATTCGTGACGTACCATGGACGAGGAAGAAATACTTCGAGCGTCCATGGGATTACCAAGAACCCCGATAAGAGGGAGGAGCTCAAGCTTGGGCCGACCCTCCACATACACCGAAGAAATAGAAATACAGGAAGACCAACAACAAAAAATTGAGGACCAACAAACAAACTTAGACAAACCTACAGGAGAACTAATCATGGACAATGCGACCAAAATTCAAAGACTTAGAGACCAAACAATCGCCTCTATCTCAAGAACAACACCGGAAGGTAGAGGAAAGATTCAATTTAACAGTAAAGACCGCCTAGCCGTACTAGAGAACACAGATGCAATAATCAGCATCTACAACCAGTTAATAACGCATCTATACCTACAAGAAAACAAAATTTCGAATCTACACGACCAGCTCATCATACATCTAAACAATAAAAACACGTCCGAATATGAAACACACAGCACACAACACACACGAACACAAAATGCTTTTAAAAGAGGTACACGACCTAAAACAACTCATAGTCAACACACACAACACCAAAACACACACACCAACACCTACACCAAAACAAACACACAATCAAGCACCAGAAACACAGCACACAACTACACGGACCTCGCAACAAAGACACCCAACACCTACACCAACACACCCAACACCTACACCAACACACCCAACACCTACACCAACACACCCAACACCTACACATACAACAACACGAACGACACAGGAATCAAAACACACGATACCGCCGAAACAACAACGGACACACCACAAACAAAGACGTACGCCACAATAACGAAAACAGCAAACGAAAAACCTAAGGAACAGCCATGGACAACCCCCAAAACTAAAAGACGATACGATACAATGATCAAACTCAAACAAGGAGACATAGGCAAACTAATGGACGAACTAAGACACACCATAAAACCAAAGGACCTAGAAAACATGACAATTCAACGTACAAAAGATGACAATACAATAATTATAACGACCGAAGACAAGGTCAAACAGAGAATTTAAACAAAAAGCACAAAAATGTGAAAATATTGAAACAAAAGACGTGACCAGAACGAAATACCCTCTATTCATGATTACCGGCATGGATAAAAGGCAAAACAGGGAAAACTTCTCAAAGGCCTTAAGGGCAGAGAACGAATCCCTAGAAGAACAATTTGGTGACCAATTAGAAAATATTAAGATCATGCATGCCAAACCATGCAAAAATCAATGGCTAGAAAACGTCATAGTAGAGGGACCTACAGAAATTACAAAACAGATACTAAAAGACGGCTACATATACTTCGACCTAACAAAATACTACGTACAAGAATACGTAAGGGTGAGCATGTGCTTCCGTTGCTGCAAGTTCAATCACTCGAGCAAATACTGCCAGGCCAAACACCCGGTATGCTTCAGATGCTCTGGCAAACACGAGGGTGTGTCCTACTCCAGCAGGACATACAATTGTGCAAATTGCCAAATAATCGACTTGCAGCCACGGGGGCACATGGCAAGAGACATGAAATGCCCCATACAAATAAAGAAAATGGACCAGGCGAAACTACAAATAGACTACGACAACTAAAAACAAAACTAAAAGACTAACAAAACAAAATGACCTCTTTCATCCAATTCAATGCTGGAAGAGGTCTAGAGGCCACAGACAAGCTAATAAACAAAATGACCTCCGAGAAAATTGATATAGCCCTCATACAAGAACCTGGCCATAACATCTGGCAAAATAATGAATACAACACAGTAGGGCTATACAAAACCTCCAAAGCACCGATCCTCATACACAAAAAAATTACACAATAAGTCACACTAATAACAAACAGAACAGATCAAAACTCGACCACAATACACTTAAAATCCGGAAACACAACATACACAATCATGAACATATACGACGAACCAGGAGGAAATAAAAATAACACACTAGACAAGCACAAAACGCAAATCGAAACAGACAATAACAAAACAATCATCACAGGAGACCTAAACGCTAAACATACATGCTGGGGCGGAAACATAACCGACACCAGAGGACAAGACATAGTAGATTGGACAACTGTAAACCACATATACATAAACAACAAACATGACAGTCCTCCAACTTATCTCACCCTAAGAGTGAAAAGTTGGATAGACCTGACACTGACCAAAAATACAAACATAAACGATTGGATGGTCGTTGAAGAGGAAACCCTCAGCGACCACCAATATATCACTTTTAACACAGAAAAACACACACAAAAAAACCTAGCAACTAAACACAAACTTAGCATCACACACATCAACAAAAACAAACTCAACACACTCACATAGACAAAGGTTTGGGATTTGTCAGGCACTGCAAGTCTAAAAGCCGAAAGAACACAGAAAGACATAATACAAATTGCAAAAGAATCCTCAAGGAAAACCGGAAGAAGAAAGAAACCAAACCAAATGTGGTGGACCGAAGAACTCGAAAAACTAAAAAAAGAAACAAACAAGAGCAGAAGGAGAAACCAAAAAGAAACAGACCCGATAAACAAACGAAGAGATGAAATATCATATACTACAAACAAAAGAAAATATAAAGATGCCATAAAGCTAGCAAAGAAAACAGCCATTAGACAGTACCTGACAAATCACGACCCAGACAATCCATGGAACTTAGGGTACAAAATAATAAAGAAAAAAAAGAGGACAACAACAGCACACTAAATACCATCAAGAAACTAGACGGAACGTACACAACAAACAGAGAAGACACAATAAAATACTTACACAGAAAATACTTCCCACAAGACAACGAAGAAGAAGACAACGACACACACAAAGCACTCAGAACAAGATCACACACACAACTCCGAAAACGACATAGATTTTACACAAGACGAAATAAAAACTATCATACAAGACATGAAAAACAAGAAGGCCACGGCGACAGACGGACTCAGTAAAAAGATCGAAGGCTTTTATCTCAGTATGCAGAGTTAATACTCTACTTCACAGAACAAAGTTATGAAGGTGTTATTGGGGCTGATATTATTTTACAAAAACTTCAAAAACCTGATATTAAATTGTACTTGGAATTTTTAGCGTATATGCTACCTTTTTTCAATAGGCTCAATAGATTAATGCAAAGTGAAAAGCCCCAAGTCCATAAAATATATATCGAAATAACTTCAACTTTAAAAACTATATTACAATGTTATATCAAACCTAATGTATTACACAAAGATTTAAATGAAATTGATTATGCTAACACTCGAAACTTTTTAGATATTGAAGATATGCATTTCGGAGCATCAATAAGTACAAGCCAAGTAGATAAAGATATTTTGAAAATGGTAAAAATTAAGTGTCTAAACTTTTATATCGAAAGTGTCAAACAAACAACAATTAGATTTCCTTTAAGAAATTATAAAAACAAAAAAAAAACCATTCATTTCTGATGTGGCAATGAGTTTTCCTAACCTGATTAGTCCAGAAAATTATCAAGATTTAGATAATGAGTGGAGAATGTTATTAAATTTTCCACTTGATGATTGATTGATAATGATATTATAGGATTTTGGAAAAGAATTGCACTTGTAAAAATAGGGGATGATTCTTTAAAATTTCCCACTTTGGTAAACTTTGTTTTTAATATCCTATGTTTACCCCATTCAAGTGCTGCCGTAGAGAGAATCTTCTCTCAAATAAATCTAACAAAAACACAATTTCGGAACAGAATTACAATTGATACCATGGAGGGAATTTTACATACGAAACGTTTAATTGGAAATAATGGTTGCTTGAATTTTAATACAAATGTAAATATGGTCAAAAAGTTAAAAACCAGTGAGACCTATTTAAATAAGAAAGATGATTCTAGCGACTCTGACTAGATTCTAGTCAGAATCGCTAGAATAATCTTTCAGTTTCACTATAGGTACCTAATAGTATCTAGAACAAAATTTATTATAGGTAGGTACCTACCTTATTTTAAGATTGAAATCTATAGGAATGTTTTTTTTTTGTTAATATTATTCGGATAATAATATGTTAATAATATGTTAATTCGGAAAATCTCACGATTTCTCACGATTTTTTAAATAGAATTCTGACGATTTTTCCTAGAGTGTTTTGGCAACACTGGTACCCACTCAGTTTGCCGTCGACCGTCCTAGCGAACAGACGTGTATTCATCTGCAGCTCCTCCGTACCGACCCGTACAAGCGTATGCGCCAAAACAGTTGCGCGTTAGGGACCTTTTCACAGTTGGATCCAGCACACCCCAGGAGACGGACGCGAAACCAACTCGCCCGCACGTGCGATCGCCCGCTCAAGCGGGTGCGCTGCGCCGATGCGCGTTCGGTACCCTGACCGCCAAATGGATTTTGAAGTAAGGATGTGCGGAAGACGGTGCTACGTCACGAGTGCCTACGTCACAGACCTAAATTAAATAGCGAAGTGTACATTTTATAGTTTACATGGGACTAAAAAGTGAAAAGGTGCAAGTGAAAATGTGACAAGAATTATACTTGGAATAGTACTGTAAAACAAGTAAGTTTGGACTTATAATTGTAAAATAACAAAGACAATAGACAATCTTATAAACATTCACAAAACGCAAGAACTTTCTCACATAAATCACAGTGGACACCTATATATATATATATATATATATATATATATATATATATATATATATATATATATATATATATATATATATATATATATGCTATTTAAATTGTATTCTATTGCTTATTTAGAAAAGATCCTGTCTATATTTATTAAATGATCTAATCTCCAATTAATCACAATAAATCAGCATTAATTAATTACAATCTCAGGCTATTTAACTTGTACTATTTACCTTTGATCGTGGATTCAAAATATTTTCCAATTGGCTTCCTAATTGGGATAGGTAATATGACCTGAATAAAATACACAGAATTTCAACTGAACTATATGTGAGATGTCCTTTATTTTAATGAAATTTTATATAACAATCAATCCTGTAATATTTGTATGATAAAATGAAATTTTATATAACAATCAATCCTGTCTCTATTATTTATTCAATTTATTTAATTAATAAATGAAAACCACACTCCTGCTCTAATGAAAATTGACTGACCTTTCGTTATCTGCCGTTGCAATTCTATGGCCACGCCATAAAAAAAAACCTTTCTCTGCTTCTGCTCCTATTTTGGTCCAGAAGACGTACACCTTTCTCCTATCTGTCCTTGTATCTGCAACCCAACAACTCGTGTAATTCTATGCAGCCTCCTTTTGAACCAATCTCCGCACCTGTTTATAACTTCAAATGTTTCCGGCTTCGTCTGATATTAATATTCTTATACCCTTTGGTTTTTCTATCTCTCTGTACCCCGTTCCTCACACTGATCAGCTTTTACACAGCAAATAAACACACCCGGTAAATTACGTCTTCGGGACTTCAAACAAACACAAATCACAAAGCTCCTTCCTTCTTGGGCGACGAAAACTGACTAACTCCTTTCCTCTCTCCTATCTCATAGCCAAAACCACTCCCTCCTTGCATTCAAAAATTGACCAATAAAAATCTTCTACCTCTGTGACGTATATCGTTACCCACCAACTCTCTCTATAAAACGTCATTCGGGTAATTCCAGAAAACAACATTCTTTAATTATTCTAACTAAATCTATCTGCTTTACAAATATTTCTTACTAATAGCTACAAACGATACCTGTTTCTCAATTCATTGTCTTTTGTTAATAAACTTTTACCGATATAATCTTTCGGGGGGAAAAACCACCGCACAATTTGGTCTATTGTTTAAACACTTTCTATATACACTTTTATTACGGGTAAATCCATTTCACAATAACCGACTTATTTAAATTTCTTATCGATAATATTTGAAAGTCTTGTCTCTGAGGCCTAATGAACAATTCTTTGAACAACTTAAAATACATATTTTGTCTTATACAGGATGTTTGAAAATTTATATGCCCGTGTCATTATGAAATATCAATAATTTTAATTTTTATTTAAGT